AGTTTATCGTTGTCATTGTTTCCTGTTATTCTTGTCTGTACTTTATATGTTCTGTCTGGAGCAGGTCTCTCTTGTAAATGAGTCCTTGTGGCTCAATGAAGCCAACCTGTATAAATAAAAGGTTGAATAAATCATTACATGTATATATATATTCATTTAACCTTTATTGATACAGGTTAGTCCCACTGAGCCAATAGGACTCATTTACAAGGGAGACCTGGATTTTAACAAAGAGTGATGACAACAGTGGATAAACTGTTTTTCAATAGTAAAACAAACAATAAAAAAAAAATTGTATGACTCATTTGTGAATGTGTATTGTTGTCGTTATCACTGTCTTATTATCATGTGCTCTGGTCCAGTGTCTTCATGGACGATGTGTGTGAGGGTGGACATGTTTGGAGGTTGCTGTGTTGAAGCTCCATGGATCAGCCTCTCTGCAGCTCTCAGCACCTTCACTGAGCCTTGAGGGACTCACTGAGCTGCTGTTGTTCTTCACAGTTAGAAGGTGGGAGCTCTCGTCAAATGATCTCCAGCATCATCTTGTTCATGCCTGGCTTTTCATCCACTGACCACAGCCACCTGGAAACATCAGGGGGACCAGTAGCTGTTTAACACATCTGGAAGGAAACCAGTGAGATTTTAATATGACCATGACCATTATGATATGATATGTGGGGGAGTGGTGGCGCAGAGGTTAGAAGATGGGCCTGTGATCGGAAAGTTGCAGGTTCAACTCCCGGTACTGTCAACATCAAAATGAGGTGGAAAAGGTGAAACATCCACACCTGCCTCCACCCTCATTGGCCCCACTCTGGGCCCCTAAGCAAGGCCCTTAACCCCCACCATCTGCTCCTAAACAGGTCTCTCTTGAAAATGAGTTCTCGTGACTCAATGAGACTACCTGTATAAATAAAGGCTAAATGACAAATACAAGTTTAAAATAGAAATACTCACATCGTGAGGCCGAGGTTGTGTGTGTGACGTGCACGTTCTTGAGAGTGTGTGACGTGCACGTTCCTGAGAGTGTGTGTGTGTGACGTGCACGTTCCTGAGAGGCCACAGACAGAGCAGCTTCAGCTTTTGTTGAGTTCCTGTAGTCCTGCAGTTTTCAAGCTGAAATGAAAAAGCATCATGAATATGAACTTTACAGTCTATAGTTACCTGTTTATATAAACACATGGAGGTGTCTCACCTTGTGACTGACAATAAAATATGTAACTTTATGAACTCTAATGAACTTATAATGACGCTCCTACTCTTTGAAGGTGAACCGATGGTACCACACCATCTCTCAGTCGGACAGTCTGATCAAAATCCTCCAGTTTAAAATCCTCACTGCTCAGATGAATCCTCCTCAAAGATACTTCCACCTCTTCCTCACATCTTTTTCTTTGGGAAACCTTCAAAATGAAAACAGGACATTTGTGTCTACACAAAAACATTGTACAAAGGAGGTCAATCTTATTTTCTATTTCCTATATTCTCCCTAGTTTTATTTTTTTTTATATCCTAGAACTTAAACAAAACTCCAGTTTTGATGCATTTCTGTTGATAATGAACCAAAGCTACTGAAATAGTGAGTATGTTTGTTAGAAAAATATTCCTGTCATCAGATCTCAGTTAGCTTCATTGCAGCTGAACACCGTGTTACACTGAACATAAAATCAGCTGGTGGATATAAATACAGTACAGTAATATTCTATTCACAAAATACTAACAATAATATGTTCATCTTACTTGTGAAAAGTTATCCCCCGAGACCTGACGTTAACAGTCCGTCGATTTGAACAGAAATAAGCTGCGAAGTGCTGAGTGCTTTAACCAAATAAGGACGACCGCTCCAAAAAGGCGGCCAAAATGCCTGCGCCGCAGCAGCCAATGAGGGATCTAGTGTTTATATCTATGCTCCCCACTACCCAGTTATTTGCTCTTATTTTGAAATGTAACCGGAAGTTCTGTGTTAAGAGAGGCGGAAAAAGAAGTTATGGAGACGCCGCTAATGTCGAACCAGTTAACACCATAGACATAATATGCCTGTGGTTAACACAATCTGCCAATAACGTCTTGTTTTTAGACATAATGTGTCTGTGGTTACGGCATTTTATCGTTCAGCCTTTTTTTCTATCGTCCAATCAGATGTGGCCGGCCAGATACGCCCATTTTCCTATAGTCCAATCAGATATGACCGCCCAGATACGCCTTCCGAATTTGCCTGCAGAGATACCTACTTGGAAGAGATACTACTTGGCTGCAGCCACCGCGCTGGGAGGAGGCGGGGTTGCACAAATGCAGCGGAACCGCACCAGTTTGTGTGCAGCGCAGGGCTCCAAGTAAAGCAGGAAATAACCAGATATTTTGCTTGTGCCCTCATTGCCCTGGGCCCCTTAGAGATCATGGGCCCCTGGGCAGTTGTCCAGTTGCCCATATGGTTAATCCGGCCTTGGTTATAGTAAACGTTAAGTTAAACGTCACACCACCACTGAACCACTGCTTCCTCAACTTTCTAACAATTATCTTTGGGCTATTCTGTGGTGAGAACAGGAAACAGGTGGAGGTATGCACTTGAAAGAAGAGGAATGAAAATCAGCCATAATAAGACAGAGTACATGTGTGTGAATGAGAGGGAGGCAGGTTGAACAGTGAGGCTACAAGGAGCAGAAGTCACAAAGGTGCACGACTTCAAGTACTTGGGGTCCACTGTCCTGGAAAATGTGGTAAAGAATAGACTCCAGGAAGGATGGAGAAAAGTTTCAGAAGTGATTTGTGGCAATAGGGTGTCAGTAAAGGTCAAAGGAAAAGTTTACAAGACATTGGTGAGACCAGCTATGTTGTACGGTCTGGAGACAGAGATGTGGACAAAAAGACAGGAGAAAGAACTGGAAGAGGCAGAAATGAAGATGTTGAGGTTCTCCTTAGGAGTGACAAGGTTGGATAAGTTTAGGAATGAGATTGTCAGAGGTACAGCACAGGTTGAACAACTGGGAGATAAAGTTAGAGGCCAGACTGAGATGGT